CGCTTATGGTAAGATAGGTATATGTAAAATGCCGGTACGTTTAGTGTTAAAATCTATTTTTTTTTATTACATTTCTATAACAACTAACTACGATAGAAGCCTCTGGCTAAAATAGATGCTCTGAATTGACAGTTCTGATTTGTAACAATTTTATTCTGACGTATGTTAGATAACATCACAAGAAATTGAATTGCATATTAATTAGAATAATTAACTTAATTGAAATATATTTTACATGTCGATAGAAATTATAAAGTCAAGCGTCGGAAGACAACAAGGATCTTGAGTTATGCCTGTGACTCCTTCATCCGATTCAATAGTCAATTTTAGCGATATTACTTTCTCAGGATGTACTCGATCAACGTCCGCCAGCCTGAAAAATGTATATCGAATTGATGAAAAGCAAAGGGATCACGACGGCTTGAGAAATCTTCGCAGATCGTTCGCGGGAACTTCTCCTCGAAAGAGCTTTTCGTACATTTACAAATTCAAATCGACCGTGAAAACTTTTAATTCCGAAGTCCCCTGCATATATTCGCTATAAACATTAATAATGGAACGAGTCGCTGTATCTTGCTTCTACACACTGTCCCGTTGTGAGACGGTTATTATTAGCATTAGTCGATATTTATCACGTAGCTATATTTTCACAGTCTACGTTCTATGAAATATTTCTTTGAACTGTCATTATTCAGAGTATCTCGCATAGAAAGCAAAAGGCAATAACGATGCATCGAAGGATAAAGTTTATTACAGAGATACATATTTCCGTTATTATTTTCGCTGTTAGACGAGAACTATCGAAATTTGCTTGATAAATTTCAAGCAATCTACCGTCTACGGACCGTACGGGGAAAGAGCAGTAGTCGCAAAAGTCTAGGGGGTTCTGTGTTTTCGAAAGAAAGCGGACGAGAAAGGAGTCGAGGGTCTTCTTTTCGTTTCGATATCATCCTCATTTTCCTCGATTTCTCCTTTCTTTTTCTCTCACTCGTCGCGATTGTACAATCGGCGCTGCAGGTCCCTCTCTCTCTCTCCTGCGCCGAATGTGCAACGAGGACGAGGCACGAGAACAAGCAAGAGAAACGACACGCTCGACACGGCGTGTGCGCAGCTAGTGTGCGTCCACGGCGACAGTGTAGACGGCTCTCGGATTTGTTCGAGCGTTCTCGTGGGTGCTCGTGCGCTAGTACACCGGAGTGGAAGGTTACGTTGCCTCGCCGTTTCGCCGATGCAACGAGAAATCAGCGCGTGGTGGGGAGATGGTGGTCGCGGTGGGGCGACCAT